TGAACTCGATTGTAGAAGAATTAAATCCTGCTGATCATCCGGAATATCTGAATCTTCAATACACTCTAATTCCGATGAGATAGAGAACACTACAACTAAATCACTCATGAATATATATATGTGTACTCTAAAAAATAACTTTAGAATAATCAGATTTGATTTTCTGAATTTTTCTCTCTCTAAAGGCTTTCTCAAAATATAGAATTGATTTTTCCTAAAGCCGCATCTCAACCAATGTATATGACATGGTTTATATAGAGTTTTGAAAGTCCTAATCCCTCAGAAAATATGATAAATTTCGTGCACAAGACTTGGAAACAAGTTGGGATCAAAAAGGAAACAACTGTAGAAGGAAACCTGGAACCTGATGCATCCGGGACTTCTTGAACCGGTTCAGCCATCTTGAACTGGTTCAAGATGGACAGTAAAAAACCACAGATTCTTGAACCGATTCAGCCTTCTTAAATCGGTTCAAGATGACCAGTTTTGAAATTTTGCAATTAAACTTGTTCCGAATCTTCCAGAACCCTTCCTAACTGTTCTCACTACCTATCACAACTTCTTAGAGCATCGTTCTCATAGTGTAGCAACCCATGAACACTTGCACTTCTTCAAATCCGCATCCGATCTTCAATCTTTGAATTTTTAACCGAAAAATTACAACTCGATCAGACTTGTTTTGACAACGAAATTAGCCAATAATAAAATATATCGCACTTGTGTGTGTGTGTGTATGTAATATTTTCTAAAACTAGTTGAAGGGATTATATATGTTTATATAATTCATACTACTATCTATGGTTCATTTCTAAGCTACAAACTAGGGGGGGTCCTTGAATACGGACATACTCATTCGGAGACCACTTTACCAATTTGCCCAAAAATAGTGATATTGAAACTACAATAATCGTAATGAATTATGCACTACAATACAATATTATGTATTGTAAAGGATTCAGACTCCAAAACTATATGCGTTTTACCAATGCCACAGACTTTAGGTTGGCAACATTGTTCCAGATTCTAAAATTTAGACCAGAGCTAATGCTTTGGCATAATAAAGAATAAAGTCATTAGTAAAGCACCTTCAATTAATGAAGAGATTCAAGAGAGACCTATGAATCAAGATTTGATCCAATAAAAAGTTTTAATTTTTTATTTTATATATATATATATATATATATATATATATATATTTTAAGTTTTAATTTAAAGAATCACAAGTTTTTCTTATAATTAAATCCACACCTTGAGGGTTTGAAATTGTTGTGGTATTTTTTGAAAAGCTCTTCGACAAGGACACTATGTTCCAGCTATTCCCTTATGTTGGACAAAGGCTGATTGGGCCAAATCCTTAAATTGTGGATGTTTGAGGAGTACAGTAGGGATCACAGCAAAACAAATGGAGTTTGTTTCTTTCAACATTTTTAGATATATTAGAGCCCTCAATGCTTTTCAGGTAATTACAAAACATGAGTTCTTTCAAAACAAGTATTTTCTTTAACACAGCTTTTAGAAACAATTTTTAAAAAACTGACAACTAAAATAATTTTCTAATCATTTTAAATATTTCAATTATATTCCTTTTTTTTAATTTTTATTTTATTTTATTTCAGGCAAAGATTTCTCCCAATGGTGAATCAAACAAGTCCTTGCTTTGTCAGAATTTTCCTTCATGCTTCTAAGCTTTTAAAACTTATAATTTTATTTGGGGATGATTTTACCACTCCCCTTTCTGATTAAGGTACGACTTCTATTTTTTATTTTTATATTTTAATATTGTAAATGACAAGTATATATACAAGTTATATATTTTATCTTATCTATATGTTACCAACAATATTATCATTTCACAAGGTATCAGATCCATACTTCCTAAAGGGAGGTCATATGTTCGAGTCTCAGTGAAGACATGTATACGAGTGAATTATTTACCTTCCAAAAAAAAAAAAAAAAATTGTCATTTCACTTTTAAAATGGAGTACGCATTTGTCATAAAGGTCCCCTTTTTTTTTTTTTTTTGTTTTTTTTTTCTGATAGGTGATAAATGCATTACACTTTCTTACAAATGCACTCAACTTTGAATATGAAATGACATTATTGTCTTGGAAAAATTACATTCACCTCCCTTTTAGTTAGCTAAAAGCTCGATCAAATAACTTCCCTCAATTTTTAGGAATATCATTTACCTCCCCTATAATGGATGTCTATCTGTTGGAGTCAATTAATAGACCATAGAATTTTCTTTAAAAAAAACCTTACATTTGACCTAATTAATTTAATACTATTACATAATAACAAAACTATTTTTATATAACGATTGTGCCCTTGGAATCACCCATTGCAACAAGTCCTTAAACCTCACTACCAATATCGCCAAATTCACCCTACGAGTCACGCAATTAGGGTACCAGTTTCTTCACCTTTTATACCTTAAAACACCAACCGTATGTGTTGTAGAGCCTATAGATCCCAATAAATAAAGTACAAAAGGAAAAGAAACAAAGTAACAATGACCTCGGCTTCTTTTTAACCAAAAAACCATTTTTAAACTGAAGATGCGGCGGGGTCAGTGGTCTAGACACTTCCCACAGGGTTTAAGCACGTTTAACATTGGAGCTCTGGTGAGTTCATGGCAGGCCATGGCTTTAAAATTCGTTGTGTTATATAAGGGTGTTGAATATATATATAACATTTGCCCCCTCCACACCCATGCAATGTGAGATTGTGCATCTGTAACTCGCCTAGTGTGGTAGCCTACTAGTGCCACTTGCACAGGCTCACACACACCCGCCCACAAGGTCGCCACAATCACCCCCCTTTTGGGACCCAACGCCCTCGTTGGCCACACTTATGGCTGGATCAGGTTCTGATACCATTTTGTAACAACCCTCACGGTACCCTATCCAGACATAATATTTGTGTCTAGATAGGGTGAAAGTTGTTATATATCGAATGAGACTACCTAGAAGATCAAAGAGATTATTATTGATATGTTTGAGGTCGATGAGAAGTCCATTGATAATTATGTGGAATATGATATGAGGAGGGCTAGGATTGTTCTTTGGATCGACATCACTTACCAAACCCTAAACAATGCATTTGGCCGTTAAGGCACTATTTGGATGACACAAACGATCAAGTAACTTCCAACCTTCCACACAACAATCGATTATCCGAAATCCAAATTGGTCCATGACTGAAAATGAGGGTTTATGTTGGGCGTGGAAGTCCATTAACTCCGATGCAAATACGGGGGCAAATTAAAGTCAGAAAAAATTATGGGAGCGAATCATTAAAAGTTATGTACAACATCTTGCTGTTCCATCTTCGCGAAATACAGGAGCTTTGATGAATCGTTGGTGTACTATCCGAAAACAAATCAGCAAATTTGTTGGATGCATGACTAACATCGAAATGAATCATCCAAGTGGCTTCCGCATTGATGATATGGTGAGTTATTTACTATTTTAAATATAACTTGTAAATATTTTAAACATTCAGTTTTAATTTATTCTTAATTTTTTCGTGCAGATGACAGAAACTAAAGATGTGTTTCGTAGTCAAACAAGCGGTGAATTTGAGTTAGAAAGTTGTTGGAATATCGTGAAGCATAACATCAATCCTACCTTTTAATCCATATAATGGATGATGTATCGTTTGGATAATGTATTGTTTAAAATTATAATAACAGTCCTATCTTTTTTAATCCATATAATGAATAATGTAAAGTTTAAAGTTATAATATTAATCTTATCTTTTTTAATTCATATAATGGATAATATACTATTTAAAGTTATAATATGATCCTGCCTTTTTAATAATTTGTAAAAATATTATTTGTCATTGGAAGATATTCTGCAATAATAGAGAGATATAAATGTAGTGATGATTTTTATAAAAAAAAAATAAATAAGTATTCATTATGCAAGATAAAAAATATATCCGTTAAGAAAAAGTTAAACTTTTTCGTTTTTGAAAACGAAAATTCGAAGAGCTACTTGAAACGTGCATGGGGGGAGTCGGTACGTGGAGTAATGCATCAGATGACTCACATAAATTTTTTTGTTTTTGAAAGCGAAAATTCAAAGAGCTACTTGAAACGTGGAAACTTTTTCGTTTTTGAAAACGAAAATTCGAAGAGCTACTTGACACGTGCATGGGGGAGTCAGTACGTAGAGTAATGCATCAGATGACTCACATAAATTTTTTCATTTTTGAAAACGAAAATTCAAAGAGCTACTTGAAACGTGGATAGGGGGAATCGGTACGTAGAGTAATGCATCAGATGACTCACATATCCATCCGGTAAAGCACGGTATCGTCGCACATGATTTCAACTTTATACCTGACCTCGTTGAAATGGCAAACCTATGTTCCCTGATAAAAGTCAATAACTCTCTCTCTCACTCTCTGTCTTCATTTCTGGTTTTTCTTGGATGTGGATTTGTGGTTGAACAAGAAGCTTTCTATGGTGACAATCAAGTTTCAAGATAAGCAATTGCGTAAGTGATGACGTCACTATGGTGAATTGCAACTTCAAGGTGGTGTAAATAATGGTGTTCACATGCAACCAAGTGTATTGTAGTGTTATTCAACAAAAAAAATAAAAAATAAATAAATAAAATAAAATAAAGTGTTGTGTAGTGTGTGTATATATATATTTTTATTTAATTTTTTTTAAAAATTGTATTTTTATTTGGAGGCTCCAATTAGTAGTTTGATAATATGCTTTATTTTAGATGGTATAAGTTCTCATTTGTTTTTGGAGAGTTTCAGTGTTCAATTTCTTATGAAGACAAAAATATAATGAATTTTATTTGAAAAGTTTATTTAAGTAGGTAAAAATTAAATTACGAATGGGTGATATATCTGGAAATTTCTCCTTTCCTTAAAAAAAAAAAAAAAAAAAAAAAAAAAAAAAAAAAAAAAAAAAAAATCTGATTGATTGAAAAGCATTCAAATGGAGTGTTTATAAAATTTGTAGGACATCTGAAATTTTGAGAAAGATACTTGACCTTCTTCAGTTTTGTCATGTTGAGTCTCTCCTCTTGGACCACACTTGACAACCCCGGCGCCGGGCCGCGGGGGATAAAAGACAATAACTCTCCCTCTCCCTCTCCCTCTTCCTCTCTTTGTCTCTCTCTTCATTTCTGATTTTTCTAGATGTGGATTTGAGGTTGAAGAAGCTTTCTTCTATAGTTATGAGAGTTTCATCCATTTATGTATGTATTCTTCCATCTTGATTTACTGCTAGCTTGTTTCCCACTTAAGCTTTTACGATATCCTTCTTATAGACAGTTTTTTTTTTTTTTTGCTTATATATGTACATATATATAAATATATACACACATGTATAAATGAAATTGTTGCCTTTTGAGTTGCATTTCCAGTATTAATTTTAAGTGTGGATTTGGGGTGAACTATTTTTCCTTTTATTATATATTTACTTATATTAAAAAGGAAAAAAAAAAAAAAAAAAAAACACTAATTTGTCAAATCATTGAATGGTGAATATGTCTATGTACCCAGACAGATATATACGCATATACATATATAGAGAGAGAGTGGGGAATGAATATACTATATATGATGCAAGCTAGTTTGATGTTCAAGATACAAAGACAGATATATACGCATATACATATATAGAGAGAGAGTGGGGAATGAATATACTATATATGATGCAAAGCTAGTTTGATACACAGCTAAAGTACTTCTTTATCCATCACTGCATGTTAAATAATAAATTTAATTATTAGCATCCATTGATATAATAAGGATCTAGTCTGTTTAACAGATTCATGAATAAAAATTCTCGTTGCTCTTTTATACAGATTTTACTTTAAAAAATAATAATAATAAATAAATAAAAGATTCATGAACAAGAGAGATTCATATTTCAATAAACAACAATACTAATTTGCTCTACAATTATGGGGTAAATTACTAATTTGTCCTGTTATTCTTTAGACATATATATCCCCACCACTTCATGCTTTATTCCTGATTAATTTCAAGCATATATAGTCATTATCATCATTTTTTAAGAAGTAAAAAAATAATAATAAAATAGTCTGTGCTTCCTATTGGAATTTCACATAGGATTTAAACCACAACATGCATCTTGGCTTAATGAATTTTGTGGAAATCCCTCTGTCTTTCTCTCTCTCTCTCACGCACACACGAGCATGCATGTCAGTATATATGTATTCGGGCAAATTACATTAATCTTCCTTGAAGTTTAGATAAATTACATATGAATAAAATATTTGGTCTTTATTACTTTAATATCTCTTAAATGTGTAAAATATATTTTATATTCTTATCTAATTTAATAAAAAAAATTATCAAACCAAAAGACTCTATTACACTTTTTCCCTTTTTTTGTAAATTGTTTACACTATATTACCCTACCTAATATTTTTTATTTTTTTATTTGAAAAAAAAATCTAATCAAACCCTAAAAAGAAACCTAATAAAATGCCATTTATAACAAAAAATATATATATGTTTTGTAAAATTGAATAATACGAAAATTGATATTTTGCATTTCATGGTATTTCGGTCGTTTTATGCTAAAATATAAGGTTATTAAGGTCTTTTAACACAAGAAAAAGGCAACTTGTCATTTTTTAAAAAATTATTAACAACAAGGGTTGTCATTGATCACACGTCTCAAATTTCAAGGAGGTCAAAGTAATAAAGATCAAACGCTTTTAGCTGTGTGTAAGTTGCTCAAATATTAGAAGAAATCAGTGTAATTTATGTTATATATTCATTTCATGGACCATGAGGACAATTAGAGTAATTGCTAAAGTGATGATGATGTGTTCTACTAGGGAAGGTGAGGAGGGATTTCTTGAAGAGCAAAATATGGAGATCAGAGGCGGCAATAATAATAATAGATTGATGCTACCTGACGATGGTTATGAATGGAGAAAATATGGCCAGAAGTTCATCAAAAATATTGCAAAATTCAGGTACAAAAATACTTTCAATTATTGTGCATGACTTTGCATCACATTATCTTATATATACAATCTTGTAATTATTATTATTACTTGGAAATATCAAACAAATTGAATACCATTGCAAGAGCTACTAGCTAGGACCATATATATATATATATATTGTGCCCCATGCTGCTCAATACTTGTGAAACGTCCCTTTAATGATCAACAAAACAACTGGACAATTAGTGCTTTTGCCGTACCTATATAAGGATTGAATCTTCCAATTATATACATATATATATATATATATATATATATATATATATGATGTTTTGTTTTTTTCTTGGCTAAAAGCACACACTTCTGCTTTTTTCTTTCTTTTTCGGGAAGGTTAATTATGATTATTGGTGTGTATCGTAGGCAACAAGCCAAAACGTGTTATAGAGTGGCCAAGTTTGAATTTATAAAGTGCTACTACTATCTCTAACTATTAATATAGCTAAGGTGAGTAGGGATCGTCCCAAGGGATTGGGGGCAATGTTAATATGGAAACAAAGTCGGATTAGTAGGTCGAGTGATCAAAAAGATAGTTTGATTGGTTAATTAAACTACAATATAAATAAATTCAATGCAAAGTAATTAAAGTAAGTAAAGGGGCAGAGAACAAGAAAAGAGATCTTGGGATTTAGAGGTCACCACTAAATATCATCTTTCTAGATACTTAATGTGTAATGAATGAGGGGAAATATATGTTGCAACACTAATATGTGTGATTGATTGAATCAACAAGCATGGATGACTAATTAAGTATAAATTGTCTAAACAACCTAATGAATAGCACAATATATCAAACTAAGTCATTATTTCTTGATTTAAGCTCACAATCAAACACTTTAACAAGCTAAAGAATTATACTACTTGCATTCATAAGCATGGACCATCAAACACGATTGTCCTTCTTTTTAAGAGAATAAGGCAACTACACTACAACTAAACTAAGGACATGCAAATTAAACTAATTAAACTAAGGTAGAGGCACAATCTATCAAGAAATGAGTATGAACCATCAAACAAGTTACAAGAGTATTCCATTAAAGCACCATGCCTTGACAGTCTCTAGATTCATAGCATCAACACGCATAAACATGCATTAATATCACAAAACCAAGAGATAAATACATAAACATCTATTCTAGCATACATGGACATATGAATAGAATGAAATGATCAATTGAAAGCATTAAACAACATAAATCATTATAGAAACAAGATTCATATATAAATCAAATGTCAAGACGAGAATTACAACATAAATCCCCTCAAAATACAAAACATCAAGATCTAGAAGGCATACTTAGAGCTAACTTTAGCCCCAAGAAGATGTTTAGCCACTCATTGATGTAGTCATCCAACTCTCAAGGGCCATCTCTATGGTAGGATTGATCTTTTTCTCCTTGATGGAAACCCTAGATGAATGGAAGAACTCCCAAATGGTGTGTGTATCTCTCTAATCTCTAAGCTTTTTCCTCTACTCTATTGTTGTATATGATATCTTTCTCTATATGTAAAAATGACTCAAAATCCTTATATAGGTAGCTCCAATGTCACACCCAATGGTCAGGTCTCGTGCATTAAGGCCCCTTTAATGATTGCACCACAAGCCCTCTTTTAATGAGCTGGACTCTATTTTATTTCGAACTTGAGGAGATTCGATCGATCGAATTCTGATGAGATCGATCGAAGAATGTTCAGATCAAAGTGTGGCCGGATCAATCAAACCTGGGTGGTGCCTTTTTGGAATAGGACAAGTATGAGATATTTTTAGGATATTTTAGGAAAAAAACAAAAGTGGTAGGTGGGGATAAAATCAAAGAAGTTCAATCGATCGAAAGGAAAGTTTGATCGATCGAAGATGGGAATTCTTAAGAATAAGGACAAGGAGTTTGATCCATCTTGGTGAGGTTGGATCGATCACTGTGAGAACGATCGAAGATTTGTCTGATCAATCGAAACTTACTGTTTTCCACCACTTTGCTCCTTTTTGCTCATTTCTTCCATTCAGCTTGAGATTACTTCTTTTATGTTCTAATTTGACTGAATTGACTTATTTTGGGGATAAGCGCCTGAAAAGGGTAATAACATGAAATTAGTCTAAAACGGGAAAATAAGATAGATAAAGGTTCTATAATACTCGAGCTTAAGGGGTTTGAATGCGCACTTTTCAGTGCTCATTATTATTATTATTATATTTTTATAGATTGCTGATGCATTATAATGTCAATTTGGATTTGCATTTCTTTAGGAGCTATTTTAGGTGTCGCAAGAGCCAATGTAAAGCGAAGAAGCGAGCCGAGTGGTTGACCTCAGAACCCGACAACCTTCGAGTCGTGTATGATGGGGTGCACTCTCATGCCCCCTTGACACCGTTGGACTTCTCACAAGGGACTTCTAGTACTACTTCAAGAGCAAATCCATATGACTTGTTAACACAAGTTTTACAGGATCAACCAATTGGCATTAGTCGAGATGGTATAGTCTCTCCTTCCCGAAGAGGATATTAAATTAATATTTGAGTCCTCCAAGGAATAATATTGTGTGGATTTATGTATGTTTGCTTGAACTTTCGTTAAAAAAAAAAAAAAAAAAAAAAAAAAATGTTGGAGGATCAAACAAATTCTCTTATAAGGCTCCGTTTAGTTAGATGAAAATAAGCAAGAAAAGAAAATAAATGAAAAATTAAAGAAAAATGAAGTGAAAAAAAAAAAAAAAAAAAGTTATTTTCTAGCATGCATTTGGTTAGTATAAAATTTTATTTAAGAAAATTGTAGTAAAATATTAGTTTGTTATTTTGGATAGCATGAAAGTAAAAAAAAAGTAATTGAACATACCAAAATTACTCTTATGATTTCAAATACTAAAAAATAAATAATTTTGTATTTTATGATGTCTATTTTTAGCAAAGAAATGGTAACATGATGGATTATTAAATTTAATAATTTAAATTTTATTTATATTTGAAATAATACTTCATAATATTTTCTTAGGTAGAAGTAGAACTAATTATTAGTTTAAGAGGGGAAAAAAAAAAAAAAAAAAAAAAAAAAAAAAAAAAAAAACAACAACAACAACAACAGCAACGGAGATGAAGAAATTTATGGCAATACTAATTTTTGAGAGATTTGATTGTATGTTGTTATTGTCAATTATATACGAACTTGTGAAAAATTAAATAGAGAACTTGTCTCTTTGAAACCGAGTAAAAAAATAAATAAAGAAGTTTCATGATTAAGTTAATGGGTAAAATAAGAATGTCAAATAAAAATGCACTTTTTCCACTTGAAAATATTATTTTCCTATGTTTTGTGTAGGAAAAGTTTTGGAAGAAAATAGGCAAGTATGGAAAAAAATAAAAATTCATTACGTTTCTTTTTCCATCTATCCAAACTACAAAAAAAATAAAACTTTCTCTTTCCTTAAGATAAGTGAAGTCATTAATAATTTTTTCGGTAATTAAAGTCATTAATATTTGATCTGCAATATGTGTATATATATATATATATCAATTTCTACCTTTAAACAAGTCAAAAAATTTAGGACAATACTTGCCTACTCACCGGTGAATAGGAAGTTCATACTAACTTTGATGTAATGCAAAATTAGTGAAACATGTATCCCTACAATATAAAATAATAAAAATTAAAAGATTTAAGAGGTTATCCAGATTAAACCCAATATGATCCAAATCTAACTCCCTTCCCCCCTCTCTCTTAGGCAACTTTGGTTTCCTCATTTTGTCCAGGGAGTGAATGAGAAGGTGATCTAGTCGAAAAAAAACATTTTAAGCTAAAATTCTTAAATAAAATAATATTACAATATACAAACAAAGCTGTGGATGATGAATAGAAAGAAGAACTATAAATGTAATAATACATAGATATTTATTTTCCATCAAAAGAAAAAGAAGACAAGAAATAAGTAATAACAATCTATCTTACAATCAACAAATCATCTACCAAACCATGTGAATCAGATTTTATATAATTGGTGTACTTTAGATAACAACAATTGATAAGTATATGTAAGGATTACACATTAAACCATGAAAGATAAAAGTTAGAATGTCCAGTATTAGCAGATTAGGGTTTTAACAGAATAGTTAGAGAGAGAGAAGGAGAGAGAAAAAGTTAAATTAGGATATGATTTGCATACTTTTGGATTGACCCGGTAAGTATTTAATTTTTTTACTTTTTATTATTTTTTATTTTCTGAACACTTGTCATATTACTTTTGCGCTACATCATAGGAAAACATGAACTTGCTACTCATTGATGAGTAGGTAAGTATTGTCCAAAAATTTGTGTATATAAAGATGTATATTGTATAATATCTAAGCAGACAACCACAATATTGATTTTCACAATTTTCTTTTATATATGATTATGACAAAAAATTAAAATTAAAATCTTCGTAGATGTAATGCAATATAGTAATAGTTTTACTTGTATTTCAGTTAATTAAGGTCACCTTTCTAAATTGATAATATTAATGGGAGACACCAATTTTTTAATTAGTAGAAAAATTATTATTAGCTATAAAATTTCTTGAAGAATAATTATTAATTAACTGTAATTATTTATACAATTGTTTTAACTTCTGAAGAAAAAGTCTTAATTTTTTTTTAAACATTTTCAAATCAAGTGATCCATGTATTTTAAAATTGATTAATATATTAAAAATATATATATGTTCTTTTTAACTTTTTTACCTGGTATATATTATACTAAAGTGGGATATATTTAACAAAAAATTGCCTGTGGTATATTGTATAATCGAAACATCATATTTATATATTAAAACTCTTATATTTAAATTGCCTGTGGTAAATTTACTGGAACTGTTATTGGATTGTCATAATTTACTAGATTAAATTTTAATTAAATGGGTAAGAAACAACATATTTATATATTGAGTGTAACATGTACAAATGTATAAATGATTTGGAATACAAGAAATAAAGCCCTGAAGGA